TACTTGTGATTTTGTATGTAATTATTTCAAATTCTTTTTGAGATCTGGAAATTTGGAAACTCAAAAAACGACCGGAATGATATTACTCCTTTGAAGGGTTCCTTGTTTTTCATGGAAAACTCGATCTTTAGATCTCTTGTAACAATGTAAAATTGCTAAAGTTACTATATATATTTTTGGGCACAGCTATTTTTATTTCTTTTTCTGTATTTTTTTCTTCAAAATTTTGTTATGAAACCGGCTGGAATTTTATAAAATTATTATAAAATAACAAGCTTCGACATAAACTGAATAATCGTTCATTTGAAAATGTTCGTTTCCTTTGATTAATGCCGCAGCCGACCTTCAAAATCTGCACATGATAAATAATAAATCACAAGTAATATGCAAGTATTAGTCGTGTAACCCGTTTATTGCCCTAAAGTTTTTACTTAAGATTTATCAGTGCGCACATCAAAAGCTTGAACAATAGTTTTTTTCTTTTTTAGAAAACTTCGAGATTAGAAAATGGCGGCTTCTAGTCCCTCAGAATTCAGCAACCCCTTGAGGAAGTTCAAGCTAGTATTTTTGGGTGAACAAAGTGGTATGTTAAGTGTTGCACATCTGCTGTAATTCCCCGAGTCTTCGCATTCTTCTAAGATGCGCTTTTTTTTTTTAATTTCTTCTCGTTTTTGTCCTTGAAACTTAATTAAACACTTAGAATTACTTTAAATTTTCCTTTGGTTTAGTTGGAAAGACGTCGTTGATCACTCGTTTCATGTATGATACCTTTGATAACACGTATCAGGTATGAAATATAAGACTTTGTAAATTCTGGGTCAACATCGAACGAGTTTTATTCAATTCTTGCTGATGTTCTTAGGACTTTCTTGTGTAGGCCACCATTGGTATTGACTTCTTATCAAAGACTATGTATTTAGAAGACCGAACAGTTCGACTACAATTATGGGATACTGCTGGACAGGTAGAAGCTTCTGTCATTCATTTGGAGGTTAATATGAATTTTCAATTAAAATTCGGGTTTCCTCCGATTATTTGTAGGAGAGGTTTAGAAGTTTAATTCCAAGCTATATTCGAGATTCTTCGGTAGCCGTTGTTGTATACGACATCACAAGTACGCTCGAACTTCTTCTTTTGTATTATATATTGATATTTGGATTTTTTATGCAAATATTCGGTTTCTTCATGCTGATCTTCAAGAATTTTTTTCTTTCCTCGAACAGATCGGAACTCTTTTATGAATACAGCAAAGTGGATTGATGACGTTCGTGCGGAACGGGGGAATGATGTAATTATTGTATTGGTTGGAAACAAAACTGATTTAAATGACAAAAGGTAGTAGTATTCTTATATTATTAGTATTTTTATCTATTTAAAGCGTTTACATGAATTCATTTCTGCTGTTTAGACAAGTAACAACTGAAGAAGGGGAGAAGAAGGCTAAAGAGTTTAATGTCATGTTTATCGAGACTAGCGCTAAGGCTGGACATAATGTAAAAACTCTCTTCCGTAAGATTGCCCAAGCTCTACCTGGAATGGAAAACACAATGAATGAACCTCAAAATCAACGTAAGTAATTGATGATTCCTGATGGTTTTTTCAATTATCATTTCATCCATTTATCTAACTTATTTATTATATAGTAATTGACGTAAATATCAATTCTGGTACCCCAAATGCCAACGAACAATCGTCGTGCTCTTGCTAATTAATGTTTAGCCATTTACTTTGTCGTTTTTCTTTGATGTCACTTTTCACGGACTTTAATTGAACTTTATCAACAAACCCTTTAAACGATCTGCTAATGTAAC